ACCCTGAGAAGTGAAGGTCCGCCGATGGCCACTGGATGGAGCTCTGAAAGCGATAAGCAAGAGGGCAGCCAGAGAGCCAGCCCCTCCCCCACTCCCTTCCCTCTTCTAGTCTTGCTCTGAGACAGTCCCCTGGACACAGGTGGCCTTCACCACCTATAGAAGTAATGGCTGTTGATGGAGTTCCTTCTGCCAGGACTCTGGGGAAAGAAAGGGCCCCTTGGGCCGGCCGGGACCCCTCCTGAGAACACTGTTGCATCCTGGCTCCTTGACCCTCAGCACAGCCTTGATGTGGCATTTTTGGGCAAAGACAGGCCCTGATCACCTAACCCCTAATCTGTGAAGAAGTGTGAATGGTGTTGTGTAGGAGCCCCGCTTAACACTTTGCAAGCTCGCTGTTGGTATTATTTCTGTACTTTCGTGAAATCACTTAGAAGTTTCACATTTTGCCACGTGAAACCATGTCTGTGCGTGTCCTGGACGGGGTGGATTCTGAAGGAGGCGGTAGGTTTTCTGGGCTGGGTGCCTGCATTCACCACCTGGCTGGATTGTTTGGAAATACTTAACCTGGTACACCACACTCTTCATTCTTTGTTGACTGGGTTGGCATAAAAGCATTGTGGGGAATATTGGATTGGGTCACTTTACTTCGTCCACCTGATTTCTTTGGCTGCAAAACTGTCAAAAGCATCTTTTCTGGGGTGGCCAGGTTTCTCTTGGTCAGTGCTAACTCTGGTCCTGCTGCCTCTTGCCCTCCCTACAGGGCTGGCCAGGCTCCCCCACCTGTGGCTCTGGTGACCCTGACAAGTGCAGGTCTGCCAATGGCCACTGGGTGGAGCTCTGAAAGCAAGCCTGCCCCAGGAACCATTTCATCCTGGAAAAGCGCTGTGAACCGCATCCTTCTGCTCATAGCTTAAAGCCTACAGCACTTTGAACTTCATAGCATTTTGTCTTTGGCATCTGTTCCCTGGGCTTTTGTGATGTCAGTCTCAGGGCCCCGGGGAGTCTCGGAGGCCTTGTGAAACACTGAGGTACAGTCCCCACGTGGTCAAGTTCGGCTGTCTCCACCATCTAGGCCACTAAGGTGCAGTCATTCCAGGAGGTCCTCACAGTTCCCGGGGCTACCTCCTCTGCTCTGGAACCACGAGGTGGGCTGCCTTGCACGGGTGTCTGGATGTTGGGATTCTGGGCATCAGCAGTCTTCCTTTTCGTCTCCGAGCAGCACAGGCCTTGTCTGTCTCCTTGACTGTTGATGGACAGGTGGGCCATCTCCAGGTCAGGCTCTTACAAACAAACCTGCTGTGAAAGCACAGGTGTGTGTGACATCTGCTTTTGCAGCTGGAACGTGGTGACTGCAAGCCTAGTTCTCTAAGTGACTATTGAATGGCTGTCATTTTACAGCCAAGTCGCAGCCTTGGTGTAGGTCACATGGGATGAGGTGGCAGTGGCCAGGCGGGACTGTGAAGTTTCTTAGACTGAGGTCAGAAGGGAAGGGACCTGAGGTGCTCTAGAGAGAGGGCTCGGTGATTGGAAAAGTTTGGGGAATGAATAACATCTTCCTTCTGGGAATTTTAAATGTGCATGATAAGAATCTCTGTTCTACAGAAGTGAACCCAGTGAAGCCCATGTGCCCTGTTTCTGTGCCCCCTTCCCTGACGCCCCCAGCATCCACATGGGCTCTGTACCCTTGCGGCACAGCAGCAAGGGCTCCTCACTTGCTGCGAGGCCCGTGGTGAGTCCTTCACCCACTTCAGCCTCCCCGGGGAGGTTGATGGTCTCTGCTGGTCCTACAGCTTTTGGCCCAGGGGTCCCTGGGATTTTCAGTTACTCGTAAGCCCAGAGCAGGAGGAGTCCCTGGGCTGCCCTGGTGCAGGTGGGCCCAAGGTGTCTTCAGGGCTGTGGTGTAGCCTGGCCTGGACTCCGCTGGCTGGTCCTTTTGGAAGTCTGCTTAGCTCTGGGCTTCCTCTCGCCTCTGTATGAGGACAGGACAGGACACTGTTTTCAGATGTCAGGAGAGGCTTGAGGGACAGCCAGGCCCTGGTTGGCCTTCCACATTCCCGCCTTCCTCCTTCCAGCACCTCCAGCTTCTCTTCACTCAGCACTGGCCTGGGCAGTTCTCACCATGCCAAGGGTCCCCCCACGGCCCTCAGGGCAGCCATGGCTTGCCCAGAGCTGGTGGTTCTGTTTGCCTTAGCAAATGGGGCTCGCTCATGTGCACCCTGGGGCCTCATTGTGCTTGTTCCTGCAGTGCTGGGGATGAAACCCCGGTCCTTATGCATGCCAGGCAAGGACTCTGAGCCACCCCCACCCCCTGGTTCATTCTGTGAAGACCTGTTCTGTGACTTTTGAAGACTTAGCCCTTCCCCTTGACACAGCAGCCCTCAGGACCCAGAAGTCACTCCAGCAGTCCCCCACCAGGTGCTGTGGTGCCCTTGCTCTCACAGTACCCCAGCACCCCACAAGGTACTTTATGTTAACCTTTTAAGCGTAAGGAGGAAGGAGAGGGTTTCCCTGAGAAATGGCTCCCTGTCCACGTTGGTCAAGTGCTTCCAGGCACCTGGCTGCTGCTAAGTGCTGTCTAGGAAGTCCCTATCTGCTCTGACCTCCCACTTCACAGCAGAGAAACAACCCCAGGGCCGAGAGCTTGCCTCAGGCACATAGGGATCCAGGCTGTGGGCTGGGCTAGGCCTGCAGCTGCCATCTACGAGCTGCTGGGGCCCACAGGAGAGGTGTCCCTTGTGGGGGCAGCAGCAATTTCAGCGTCTTCACATCATGTTAGATCATGCAGGGAACTTTGCCAGATGGTAGACGTCAGTGCCTGGGACAGTCAGAGCATCAAGGCTGGCACCTGCTTCATGTTACGAAAATCAGAAAGGGTGAGCTGCCACTGGGCTTGGTTCCCATGACCCTCCTGAGCTTCCTGATATCACAGTGCCCCTTGGAGACTTTGGTGACCCCTGTATCTTCCCTACCTTGCAGCAGCCCTTTTTAATCTCTTCCAGTAACCTTATTCTTGGTGAGGTGTGTGTGTGTGTGTGTGTGTGTGTGTGTGTGTGAGTGTGTGCGCGCGTGTGCGCACGTGCTGTCTAGACTGAAGGTCTTGGAGTGTTTGTGGTATTGTTGAGATGATTCTGTCCCCTTAAGTGCTGCTATTTTAGTGTGGTTGACCGCCCCCACCACCACTCTATCTCTGGAGGAAAGAACAGATGGTTTTCTGCGGTGCTGGTCTTCATAGGGTGCTGCAAAAGTCTTCCTAACATCACATCATGTCAGAGGCCTGGTCCTGTGTTGACAGGGAGACTGAGTAGAAGCCACACTAAGAGCCTGTGACCAGGGCTCATGTCTAGGATAAATCAAGGATGTGCTCCAATGGGTTAGAAACATGGACAGATCCCCCCAAAGAGGTGCTGCTGCTGCATGAGAGAGAAGGTGCAGATGGCCTTGACCGCACTGTAGTGCACACACTGTTCTGGGGGACAGAAAATACAGATAAAGAGCACTACAGGGAGCAAGAATGTGCAGCGGCTGGAGCTCTGGAGTGACGTTTGGGTGCCAGTTGGCAGTCAGCCTGTTCCTGAGGAATGTGCCCCAGAGGGCTTGCTGTGGGCCCTGGGAGTCGCGTACAGAGCACCCTCCTGGAGGCAGCTCCGCCCCAGTTGGCTGAGGTGGGAAATGGCCAAATGTCCACCACAGCAGAGAGGAAGAATCAGTTGTGATCTGCTGAACTGGGAGCCTGGGGTGGCGGTGAAAACGAGTGGAAAGGCCAGAGGCAGAGTTAGGGGCGCATAATATAGAAGCAGACTGATGAAGAAGACCAAAGTAGGGACTGGCATCAAAGTTGAGACCCAGGTCCCCTGGCCAGACGATCAGTGCAGCCCAGCCCTTGCCTGGTTCTCAGGTACTGCCCTTCTGTACCCCATGGCTCGGCTGTTTGGGGGAGAACACCTTGTTGAAGCCCAGGCTGCCACCATGTGGCTTTGTCAGGACTTTGTTCCTTTCTTAACCAAGCGGACTTACAGGGACTGGACTGGTGTGTTGACATTGTCAGATGCAGGATCAGAAGCTCTGAGGAGGGGCAGAGGCAGACAGGTGAGGAGCTTGCTCTGGCCAGGTAGTCTAGATCTGTTTGCTCACCTCGGGCTGCGGTTGTGGCTCAGTGGTAGAGCGCATGCCCATCACGAGTGAGGTGCTGGATTCGATCCTCAGCACCACATAAAAATAAATAAAATAAAATAAAAGCATTGTGTGTGTCCACTATTAAAAAAAAAACAAAAAACAAAGGAACATGACCTTCCATGTGCTTAGGTGATTACCCCAGCCCTAAGTGCATGTCACATAGCACTTGGTCAGCAGTAAGTACCCAGTGACGGTGGATTCACATGGCCACTTCTGTGAGTTTTTAAAGAGCTGGACACATCCCTAGAAATTCACATTTTAAAAATTCAGAAGTTAGGTTATTAATAAGGTTTACGTGGTTAATGGTCTTCAAATGTATGGGGTTCTCTTTTTCCATATTTTTTTGAACATTTTAGTTTTTTTAAAACAAATTTTTTATTGTAGATGAACACAATACCTTTATTTTATTTTTTAATTTTTATGTGGTGCTGCGGTTCAAACCCAGTGCCTCTCATGTGCTAGTTGAGCCACAACCCCAGCCCCCCGTTTTTATTTTTATTTATTTATTTATTTACTTACTTATTAGGTACTAGGGATTTAACCGAGGGGTGCTTCACCACTGAGCCACATACCCAGCCTTTTTACTTTTCATTTTGAGACAGGGTCTCTCTAAGTTTCCCAGATTGGCCTTGAACTTGTGACCCTCCTGCCTTAGCCTCCCAAGGAACTAGGGTTTCAGGTGTATGCCACCATGCCTGGCCCAGTTTTTCATCTTCACAGAGCACCAGTCAAATGAGTACAGCCCAGAGAGTGGAGGCAACAAATTAGAAATGAGAAGTCCCCCAGATCTTACAACTGGCTTTAAATTCAAGAATTTGACATGCAACTTCTTAATTTACTCCTGGTTTATTTTTTACCAAGTGCTTTTTATGAAAGAACAAGTGTTTGTTGTTTTCTTGATGTATCTGCCACAATTAGCAATAGGTCCAGTTTCCTGTAATGCGTTGCATAACCTTTGTGAAGGAAATCCAAGATTAAACTCACTTTTTGGTACCCTAAGTAATAAAACATGGCAGGCCTTGTGGTTTGATAAATTAATAATTAAATAATTAAGATAATTAATTTTAAATTATAATGTCAATAAATGTTGATGGTCAAGTTAATGGCCCTCAAATATAATTTTGAAAACCCCGTGCCCTGGTGTCTTCAGATTCATGAGGAAATAGAGGACTGAGCTCATAATCCACTTTGGCTTTTTTCAAATAGCTCCTTATTCTCCTCTGAGTAGCTCAATTTCCTTCCGCTTCCTTTTTTTTTTTTTTTTTTGGCAACATGGCGGAATTGGAAATCCTAACATACTGGGAGTCAGAGAGACCTAAGGCCCCGCTGGCTCCTCCAGAATGAATTTTAGCACAGGGGCACAGATGAGTAGGTGCCTGTGGAAAAGTGGGCTGAGCAGCACGTTGGCGTTAGCCACGGAGGCTGGGAGCAGACGGGAGAGTAGGAGGCAGCAAAGGAGCAGGGGCTAAAGCCAAAGCGGGGGTTGGGTAGAGGAGATATCACCCCGTGAAGGGGCTCAGTCTGTGGGTGTCCCTTGCCCTATGTGTGCCTCTGCCAAGAGATCCGACTTGGCTGCTGGATGTCCACTGGATCCATCTCAGCAGGGTGGGTGTGGCTGAAATTGATGCCAGTTGTGGGGCCCAGGGTCCTCTACACCCCCAGAACTTGGCCACTTTGCACCCAAAGCCACTGACAAATTGAAAAGAAAAAATGTGATTTGGGGTCCCTCCCTGCTTTGGGGAAGTGCAGTTGGAAAGAGGAAGTCCAAGTGGGCAGAGGCTCTGCCTCTCCAGGTCTATGCTGAGTGGGGGTCTGCCCCTTCGCAGGTATAGAAAGCATAAGCAAGGAAGAGGGTCTCTTATACCAGGACACCACCTCACTAGGAGCCCTCTCCATCTGGATCCTGTTTCTCCAGCTAACCTGAAGCAAGCTGTCCTTAGCTTGACCTTGGGCCCTGAGTCTACTCATCCCAAGTCAGACATTTCCACAGTGGCCAGAGCACCCCCTGCAGGCCAGGCCAGGCTAGTGTCTATTGGGTTAGGGTCATTTCTTTAGCAAACGTTAAGGTCAGTGGAAGGCTGGGTCTGGGTGGTGAGTCGGGATGGGAAGGGATGGAGTGCTGACTGCTGTGCCCAAGAAGGGAGGGACAGCTAGTTAGGCTTGTGGCCTTGAAGGCTTGACTGAGACCCCGGCATACCTTAAAATGAAAATTTCAGTTAGAAGCAACACAGACAAGTGTCCTCCACTTCAGCCTTGAGGTTTATGAATAAGGAACTAGGCCCTCAGAGCTCACCAAGCACCTCACAGCCACTGGGGGCAGACAAAGCTGAGCATCCAGTGTATTTCCATGATTCTTTTTTTTTTTTTAGTATTTATTTTTAGTTGTAGTTGGACACAATGCCTTTTATTTATTTATTTATTTTATGGGGTGCTAAGGATCGAACCCAGGGCCTCACACGCACTGGGTGGGTGCTCTACCACTAAGCCACAATCCCAGCCCTTTCCATGATTCTTCACAAGGCAAACTAACTCGAGCAGGTCCCAATTTGAGGAGATGTACTTTGTGTGTAATAAATAAAACTAAGCAGCTACCTCTCAGCTGAATTTCCCTACAGACCAGGGCAGGTGCTTGAGGCCCACACACGAAGGCCATGTAGTACAGCCCGGCTCCATGGCCTTTGGGCAGGTGTTCCCAGGTGGTCAGAGAGAATGCAGGGGCTAGCACAGCACCCCACATCATGCCAGTGTTTCTGCAGAAGTAGGGGTGGTCAGGATAGCCCCACCACCCTGCACCCCTGCAGGGAATCACCTGAGGGAAACTGTCCTGTTTGCAGAGCCTCCTGGGTTTTAGATTTGGGGATTAGGTGGCCATGGGCCTGTAATTGCAGCCTAGAGAACTGGAATCGGGGCACATGGAGGATGCAGAGCAGCGGAGGTTCTTCCCACACCTGCATTTTAAAGTAGATGTCTAGTAAGTGTGAAGACAAAAGGTCCACGTGAGGTTGACGGCGCGTGACTGGCCGGGCTGCAGACACCTCTGGGCTTGGCCTGGGGGGCGGACGCCTTACCTGCACTGCCCCACGGCTGACATTCCTGTGCAGCTCTGCCCGAAGCAGACAATCAGGGCCACTTTACAGTCCCTGGTCACTGTGGGGAGCCCAGCTTCATGCCCTTCTGTGCCTTGCTGGCACTTCTACTGGTGCCCAGACCTCTGTCTCAGGAAGGCCCGTCAGCTTTGCTGTTGTGAGAAATCCTAATAGTGTTTTCTTCCTTCGGTTTATTTATATTTCATTTTGTGCACACTTTGGGGAGTTGATTGGAAGGACAGATCTATCCTGAAAACACTAAGCTGCTGTTATCGGTGGGGGCAGGAGCATCAGGCAGCCCAGCCCTCCTGACTTGTCCTCGTGCCGAGTGTCTGCATTTCCTTGCATTGTTTCCTTCATCTTGATAACTTGGCATTTTCTATGAAACATCTTTTTATATAAAAAGGGGTGTGTGTGAACCCTGCCTTCAGGTTCTCATCAAGTTTGAGAAAAGCCCGATGTCAAGGCTGCAGGTCAGCTGAGTGAGGACATGACCTAATCTTCAGGACAGGTGCACAAGGTCGGAAGGCCAAGAGGTTAGCTGAGGGGGTGCCTGTTCTTCACACAGAGCCCCTGTTGCTTTCCACAGCATGGCCTTGGCCCAGGGTTGGCCTTTCTGAGAAAAACACCCTGTGCCATTCCTGCTTCAGTGCATCTCTTTCTGGGGAAGAAAGTGCCCGGCATTCCAGGTAACAAAGTGCTGTGCATTCAGTTGAACTTCAGTTTCCTCTGAGCAGCTCATCTCCCAGGCTGAGAGAGCAGGGAGGGAGGAAGTGGAGCCTCCCAAGTGTCCGTGGCTGGCTCTGGGCCCCAGGACTGGGCCTGGGGCACCCTCTTCCCTAGGCCTGCGCCATCACCTGCTGTACTCCTGCGGGGTCCAGCGAGCAGCGCCGCTGCCCACAGTGCATTTTCTTTATCAGCCGACGGAGTTTGCTGGGAAAGTTTTTGTTGATGTAGCGGTAGAGAAGTGGTGTCACAGAGCTGCTCACAAAGGCCAAGAACTTGGATAAATCCTTAGCAAAGTGCAGGATCCCCAGGTAGTGCCCATCTATAGGCCTCCCTCGTGAGACCAGTACCATGTGCCCCAGGAGGCTCAGATAGTATGGCGTCCAGAGCCCAAACTGCGTGCACACGGTGGCTACCAGAAGCCTGTGCACGGAGGGGTCCAGCCTGCCTGCTTCCTGGTCCAGGGGCGTGTCCTCCTTCCGGATCCGTGAGATGAGCACCAGTGCATACAGCACAGCCAGGCCCGGCACTATGTAGCCAATGAGCACCAGGAGGGTATCTGCAGCCTCTGTGTTCTGCATCTTGGCACACTCCGTGATCCGGGAGGACACGTGGCTGCAGATGTAGAAGAGCAGGGAGGAGAAGCTGGTCAGCAGTGCCCCACCCCAGACAAAGCCACACACGTGCCGCGTGTTGTAGACGCTGGCCATGTAGGTGCGCGGCAGGGCCCGCTCAATGTAGTAATCGAGGCTAAGCAGGGCAGTGGAGTACATGGTTACCAGGGAGGCCACATTGAACAGGATCAGCAGAGTCACGTGGGCCTCACTGCTGAGGCTCCACAGTGCCCACCTGGAGTAGGGGGGACCCAGCAGGTGCACAGGGGCCAGGGCCGTGAGCACGAGGCCCGAGACAGCCATGTTCACGAAGTACACGTCCGGCATGGTCATGCTGCTCTTGTTGCTCAGGTTGGCCACCACCAGCAGGGCATTGTAGCCCAGGCCAACGGGGACGCCCGCCACCAGATGGAGCAGCGAGAGGACCCATAGCCCTAGGCGCAGATCCTGGCACAGCTGCTCTTCGCCCTGACCCGTGCCATTGAGCAGGCCGCAGCTCCACATGGCAGCCTCACCAGGCTCTGCGGCTCTGTGGAGAGAAAGGACACTCGGTCACTCCCTGTCCCCTTGTTCAGCGCCACCAGACTGCTGAGCCAGGAAGAAACTGCCCTCTGTGTGTGTTCTATGAAAACAGGTCCCAAGCTGGGCTGCTGTGTCCCCATCTCTACAGCAATGCCAGTGGGTGCGGTGAGGCTGCTGAACCCTGCTTTTCTGAAGGAAACGGTGTCCTGGGTGACACACGATGTGACAGAAACTGCTCCACGTACTCTCCTGCGTCCTAAGCCACAGCTGAGCATGGGTTCCTCTTCACCTGCAGAGAGCTACTACCACCTCCTGGCTCGGGGGGTAGGGGGACTCTTCAGGGTTAGAATCCACAGGACTCTGGGCACCTGGCAGTGCTAGGGCACCCCAGCAAGTCCTGCACGACAGGCTGCCTCACAGGGCTTCCCCCCTCGTGTAACTGAGTGTGATGAGCATCTGCCACGAGCTTGGATGGGAAACATAGCCTGTCCCCTGCTAGGATGTGAACACGCACGCCCACGCGTGTATACCTGCCGAGCAGGAGCATCACGTTAGCAAGCGCACAAGCAGACGGGTAGGAGGACAGTGCATGCAGGCAGGACAGGAACGTGCCACGTGAGTGGAGCTGAGAGGGCACCGTGAGGAACACAGCCCCACAAGGGTCACTACTGGAGAAAGTGCATGGTGTACCCTGGAGCCCCAAGGGAGCCCTGGTCGGCTTCTCAGGGCTCACAGCCTGCTCCTCATTGCACCATCAAGAGGCACAGCTGAACTCTCTGTTGGGTGTCCTCAGGTTTGAGGGGTGCCTGTGGGAGTCAGCCTGGGGATTCCCTCTATCAGAACACCCCAGCCTAGGGCCTGGCCCCTTGAAGCAATGCAGAGCCTGGGGACACAGCTAGTCTTGTAATCGAACAAGAAACTGGCAAGTAGAGGCATAATATAAACAGAACTCTCTGCTGCCTAAGGACAGATGCCCTCAAGAGAAACTTTACCTTTGGAATGTAGTTTGGCCCAACCAGACTCCTGTTCTGGGAATAGAAAAGCGTCTCAGGCAGACACAGAAAGCAAACATCGCCGTTTCCCAGAGTGCAGGGACAAAGCGAGGAAGCCAGGCTGCCGGTGTTGGCACTGGTCCCGCCCGCTGTGGGCCCCGCCAGGAGGAAGCTCTGTGACCGCGTGACAGGCTGTTCCCCACTCGTCCCACAGGTCCTGCAGGCATGCACCAATTGTCCCTGGCTCTCCACTGCTTCACTGGGTCATGGTAGTGAGCAGGGAGGGACCCGCCACCCCAAGGCTCACACCAGACAGGTGGGCCACAGCAGGGCTCGGGTGGTGATGAGGGAAAGGAAGAGCCTAGCATCAGCCACCACTGAGGGCATCATGCAGTCCCCCAGCATGGGTTCGCCTGCTCCCTGGGTCGTCCCCCACACCGGCCTCAGCTGTCCTTGTCCCAGAGTCAGGTGATCAGAATTGGGCTGAGCAGGAGTTCCTGTTCAGAAGCAGGGCCACAGTCCTCAGGTGCAGGTGTGTGTAGGCAGGTCACAGTCCTACCAGTGCCCCCTGCCTCTGGGACAGTGAGCACTGAATGGAGCCAAGTGCCCAGGGCTGGGTGCATGCAAGGCAGCCTTGTCCACGCCGCCCCCCCCACCCCCAGGACAAGGGTGTACTCCCATTCTCCATGTGGACCAGTTGCTGCTCACTCTCAGACTGCAGTCCCTTCACCAAACCACCCTGGCCAGCACCTCAGGGACTGGTCCACTTGTGGGATATTGCTATCTGGTCTGACTGAGCGGCTGCCCCTTTTCTCTTTCCCCCCAAATGCCTGATGGCTGGTGTCCACGATTAAATGCTGCCTTCAGGTACGTATGGTTCTTCCAGGCTCCTGCGCACTGCGTCCGGCTGTCGCTGGAAGCTAAGCAGCAGCCCATATCCTCCGGCCCACGGCTGTGAATCCCCCATGAAATGCACATTCAGTGGCCACTGCGAGTGGGTGTCAGTGGATGGCTTCTCCACCCACTAGCATCCTGGTCTTGCCTGGTCACCAGCCCATAGCCACATCCCCACCAGCCTGGCTTCACATGGCATACAAGAACCCAAGATGTCCCTGTGATCAGAGGCTGTATAGACTGCAGGTCTCTCTGCCAAGGAAGGGCCCTCCACACTATGTTGGGCACTGTGTCCCCCAGCTTATTTACAAGTGAGCCTTGGAGCTGCGCACCACATCTGATAGGCCTGGTCAAGTGCCCAGGTCCCTTTCCCTCCCTCTAGTACAATGTCCCTGTCCCTGGGCTGTCTGGGAGGCTCCCTACCTTGCTACTCACTGTGCCACAGCTTCCCTTGCCCCCGTCCAGCTCTTGGCCCCCAGCAGTGCCAACCATCGGCTCTTACTTTTATCTCGTGTCCCGCGTTCCTTGGTGGCGTGGATTCCAGACACCGGCAGCACGCAGCATGGCAAGGCCGAGGCAGCCACTGCAAACCAGAAGGACCTGTTGTGTCTCTGGAAGCCCCACTGCCGCCTCCTCAGTGGCTAGGCAGCATGGGCTTGCGGGTGTGTGTGTGAGGGCCTGCCACATGCTCGTGCCCGTGAAGGCCACTGCTTGTTTTCTTCTAATAAATTACTCACAAAGTTTCTGCCTCCCTTGGCAGCCGCAGCAGCCCCTCCCTATCTCTGTTTACAGCTGGTTTTAAGAAATAAGAGGTGGCCCTTGGATGGGTCGGCGCTCCTGGAGCAAGCGTTCAGCTCCTCTCACCCTGCTTGGTAGACATCCAGGCTCCCGGGGCTGGCTGGGCTTGTGTGGAGGCTGTGGTGGCACTTCCCCTGTGCCCCTGCCTGCGTCCAGCCCTGCAGAGTGTCCTGTGCCGGGCCAGACCAGGGCTGGCAGAGCTGGGTCTGGGGTCCTGCTACACAGCATGGTTGAGAAACTCAGTTCTGAGTTCCCTCTTCCCTTGAGGAAATAAACTGAACAGACATTTGTCTGTAGAAACTAAGGACAAAATAGTTGGACCTCACTGAGACTCTACCATAGAGAGACTTTGGCTGCTTTCATTTCAGACCCAGGGACACAGAGAGCTCTTTGAAGGGCCAGGGCAGGCTCAGAATCTAAAGCATGGGGTGGAGGGCCGCGCCTGCAGCACGCGCCCTCCCAGACACCCCAGCCTGCGCGGGTGGTTATCAGTGGGGATTAAAGAGGAACAGCGCAGAGGGGGTGGAGGCTGCCTGAGGTTCGCCTGTCACTGGCTGTGCCTGGCGGGTCTGCTCCCTGCTGTGCCCTCCCTGCAGTTGAGTGGGGACAGGGGCTGCCTGGAGCGCTAATACCTGCCACCAGATTAGTGGAGCAGAAGGAGAAGGAAGCCTGTGCCCTGCTCAGGATGGCTCCATCCTCGGGAGCCTGTCCGGCCATCGCATGGAACAAGTCTGTTTAGAATCTCTTGGGCATTCGTGTGCTGGCATGACCTGGCCCCTTGGTTAGAGAGCAGCACCATGTGGAGTGTGTGTTTGCACCGGCTGGGACATGTAGGAGGAGACAGTGGCCTCTCCGTGTTAGGTATGAGCAGCTTCTAAGTGTGTAAGAATTTATAACTTTATAGGTTAGAGGTAGCTTCTATGTATAGTTTTCTTCCACGTCAATTATAAGGATGTTTTGCTTCAAATGAAGGTTATAAGCCCAAAGGTATCTATTTTTATCCATGTTCTGTCCATCTAAAAATGACATTCTTTTTGTTTTGACATGACCTCCCAAGAAGCACCTCCCCATACCAGGCTGTTACTTGGAGATCCTGGGAGCAAAGTGACAAGTTCCATCCCAGGCTGGCACTGTCTACAACAGGGACATGTGGAAAGAGGAGGCAGCTGGAGAGGGTGGGTGGGCACTACCACAGCCATGGAGGCCAGCCCCCAGTCAGAGATGGAGAGTGACACTCTGCCATTTCCTCTGTGGCATTCAGAACACGGGTCTCTGGAAACTCAGTGGCGCTAGCGTGAGCTCTCCACCGGCAGGCTGTGGGCCGCAGCTGGGGGATGGACAAGATGAGATGCCGCGCCACAGAAGCACCGCTGCCTCTGCAATTGGTGGAAGAGCTATGACCCTTGGGGCTCGGGGAGACAAGTCAGGAAGTGTTCCCACTCTCCCAATCACAGGGTGATGAGTGACATACTTCCTCCCATTATCACGTAGGGCTCCAGGGTGCCTGTCCCATTCAGGCAGTTGCCACACCATCTCCCCTGCCCATGCTCTGCCTGTGTTCCAGCGAGGTTTGTAGTCCAGGCTGGATGTGCCCACCATGCCACAGAGGGGCTCTGGAGGGACGCTGGCTGTGAAGGGCAGAGCTATCGGACTTACTGGCCTTTCCTGGTTCCTGTTCCCTGGCTGTTTGGGGAGGAAGGATGTCCTGCAGCTGGGGAACACGAGAAGGTTTCCACCCTGTAGCACAGGCCTCAGGACCTGGGCTGGGCTGCCCTTCACTTAGCCAGGCCTTCTAAGAACTCACTTCATGAGAACCTGGAGCCAGAACCAGGTGGTGGGAGATCAGGGACAGGGGAGAAATCCCCCAGTGGTCTCCTCAGAAGTGGACTCGTCCCTGAGGGACTGAAGTCCGAGTTTGCTGTGACAGGAGGTTCTGGTGAGGCCCCTGGCTAAACAGAGATGTGGGCGAGAGCAGAGAGGCTCATCCCTGAGCCCATGCTGGGGCCCTTCTCTTAGCCTGGCCGAGGCCCGAGGCGCAGAGCACTCCTGGCACATTCCGCCCGTCTTCATTTGGAGAGTTGCCTGCCAGATGGCAGGATTAATATCAGCTTCCAGGCCCTGCCACCTGCTGCCATTCCCTTGCCCACAGGGCCCAGGTCAGCAGGACCCCAGTAAGCCTGACATTCTCAGACCAGAAGAGTGTGTCCCCGCATCCCTGAGGCCCCAGTCACAAAGCACTGCTCGCCCAGCTCCCGCAGGCCCCAGCTAATAGCTTCACATTTCTGGAGTCTTCGGAGTGGCTGTGCTGCCTCCTGCTGGAGCCCTCCCACCTGCCCTGTCCAGCCGCCTCCCCGTGCTGTCCTCCCACCAGGCCCTGCTCCTGTCACCAGCTGGTTTGTCCACCTTCCTTCCATTCCTGTCACCAGCCTCTCCCACCCCTGAAACCCTCCCCCACATTTCCTGCAGGACCTGCCATACTCCCTGTTCCCACCCAGGTCCCACACCAGTGCCCACACCTCTCAGATCAGCACTGGGACCTACACTTCTCAGGCTAGGACCCGGGCCAGGCCCTAACCCTGTCTCCCGTCCCCTTTCCCCTGTAACTCCCCTGGTGTCCCTCCCCTAGCCTCTGCCTGGCAGCCGCTTGCCTCTGCTGACCGTGGCCCGTGTGGCTGAGCCCCACCGCAGACGCCAGCCCTCACACTTCAGCGGGACCTTGGTTCTCCCCCTCCCGTGCGACCTCTGCCTGGCTGAGGGCCCGGTCTACTCCCAGGTGGCTTTTCTGAAGGTTTGAAGCTCCAGTGTGACCAGTAAACAGTCCGCAGTCATGCTCTGACCCCAGGTGCAACTTCCTTAGAAGGCTGCCCTGGAGGACATTCGGCAGGCCTGATCCCTCTGCTTCCTTCCCCCAGCTCTCTGTGGGAGGGACAGCCTGCCAGCCTTTGGGGTTCTGGTTGAAATGGTGCCAAGGTCGCTTCCCTTCTCTGTGACAAGCCAGGATGTGGCAGGTCAGGCTGGCTCAAGGAGGCTGCACTGGCATGGCAGGTGCATTGCCAAGTTTCCACTCATGAACTAGCTGTCCTTCCGCCTGGAACCCCCCAGAGCCCCTAGAAGGACCAAGTGACAGCCCACCCCCGACCAGGAGCAGGGGGAATGTAGGGCCCATGCATGGATCTTGGACTGTCCTCAGTGTCCCAGTTACTGTCATGTTACTGTCTCCCTGAAGAGAATTCATTAACCATATGAATGTGACACATGCCCTCTTTCTTTTTTGTCCTTTTAATTATATGCATAAAAAAGAAAGTGTGCATACCATGAGGCCAGGGCCAGGCCTCATGTGAGTGGATACAGAGGTCTAAGGTTCCAGCCAGTGGGCCTAGCAGAGGACAGGAGAGGGAAATGGGAGGCCAGCCTCACTGTAGCAGAGAGGGGACAGAGCCCAAACAAACTGGCCCATGAAATATGAACAGGCTGACTTATAGGCAGCTGAGCCCTGGGCTCACCTAAAACTTTAGCCCATCCAGCCTGTGGCCTCTTCTCCTCTTTGTCCCCAAGAAACTACTTCCATAGCAACAGTATGCACTTCCATGTATAGCAACAGTATGCACTTCCATGTGCATCATAGGGAGCTGCAGTCAGAAGAGACAACTGGAACTGAGGTGCCTACAGGAGGCCACCCTGAGCTTCCCAGCTGTTTTTCTTTACACATGTGGTGAAAAGGTGCTGAGACTTCTGTCCATGCGCTGGGTGGGGTGCTGGGCAAAGCCCAGCGGGAATCCCAGTGGCCTGCAAAAGCAACCGCCCGCCCCTGTAGAGGAGAGCTTGATTGGGGTAGCACAGCCAGAGGGTCAGGGTTGCAAAAGTTACCCAGGCAGAAGTCCACAACCCACTTGTGGCTCTGTGCATTCCTGTCCAGGCCTCTCTGCTGGCTTCTGGGTGACCTCAGGCTGACCTGTTGATCGTGCTTTCTGAGCCCCGCAGACTGGCATGATAATGAGGCAGGCCTAGTTATTCACTGTGGTGGACTGATCAGGCCGTTGGGCACAGAGGTTGCGGCTCCCCTCTGAGTATACTAGGGTCTCCAGGGAATGCACCCTTTGGGGCTCCTTGTCCCTTCTGGTCTGAGGACTTGGCTGTTTCCGTAGCCTCTCTTTCTGGCTCCTCAGCTGCAGTCTGGGTGTCTCCTGCTAGACAACAGCTAATTGTTGGAGCCCTGGGTGGGGGAAAGCTGGAGCTCCTTCCCACAGGGCCTGCTAGCTCCAGTTATCTGCAGGAAGGTGCCCCCACCTACCCTCCAGCCCCAGTGGGCTTCCCCATGGCCTTCCCCTCGGCATCCCTCCTCCTGAGCTGCTGTGAAGCTTTTGAAAAAGAAAACCCAGGAAAGTCTGACTCCAGGGCCTGTAGGGACTGGCAGGGTGGTGTCAATGGCGAGAGCAGAGCCCTCCTGCCAGCTGAAGCAACCCTTCCAACTGCTCCCTCGTGGGCCTCAATCTGTGTTAATGCCTGCCCAGGGTGGGTGGCTTTCTGCTCACTCTAGTTTCTTCTGAATTTCTAACTGCAGCCCCTCCAGCATGCCAACCTCTCCAAAAGGCACTGTTGGGCAGCTTGAGGCATCTGGCTGGTGCACTCCATAGCACCAAGTCTGCCAGGTAAGAAGTCCCTGATCAAAGATGGGCACAGGCAGGCCTGGTGGAAAACAGCCGCAGAACTCCGAGTCCACTGCATAGCACCACCCGCAGCACCTGTGCTGACCAGCAAGTCCACATGCTGGCTGGTCTGGAAGGTCTGGGGCCCTGGCAACGTGAGTGCGTGGTTGATCACTGCCACCAGACCTGGCTGATGGAATGGGACAAAGATAGGGACCCTTGAACAGTAGCTGCCATCCCCAGCTAGGGCTTCTTGCCCAGACAGCTGGGCTACTGAGCAAGGTCCTTAAAACAAGGTACCACCAGCCCAAAACTTGGTGGCAGACACTGACTGACAGTAGGAGGACTGGCCCAGTCCTTGCTCATCCCATGCTCTGTGAGGGAGCATAAAACAGGGACTCTAACAGACGGTGCTGACTGAGTGAAAGCTTTTGCCCTACAGTGTGCAAAGAGTCATTGGGTCCCCCCTGGGACCCAGCAAGGGACCCCTGTTGCCTACAAGAACAGATATACTTAATCCTAACATTATCATGGGGATTTCCCTAAATGGGAAACTGAGGCACAAAGTTAAAGGGAGCGTACCTTCATTCTTTTCTGCTCATAACTTAAACATCTCAAGGCTGTGTGGGCCTCTGAGTGGGCCGCAGAGGGTCCGTGTGGGGCCTCTCTACCCAGCACTCTTATCTCTGCTGAGGCCATTAGACAGCTCTGCAGTGACCTGCTTGCTCTTAATAGGCACAGTAGTTAAGGGGAACTGCACCCACATTGCTCAGGACCCCAGACCCACCAGCAGCCAGCGTATGGACCCACTAATCAGCACAGTTGCTGCAGGGTGGGACTGTGCGGAGAGACTCAAGTTAGAGACAGCATGAACTGGCATAGAGGATTTTAAGGGAAACTCCACCCCCCAAGTGTCCCTGTGAAGGAAGTACTTGGGATTTCAGGCTGGGGGATGGAGCTGTGGGGATTTGCATACCAGTCTTTCTGCTTATAAGCTGTGAAACTTTGGCTGCCTCTGTGCCTCATTTTTCTCACATTTAGAAAAAATCCCCGTGAGTTTATAAGAGAATTAAATACACCCATTCTTAAAGCACAGAAGGGTGTCCTGCATCTGCTGACCCTAGGCTGGACCTGGTGGTAAGAGGACTTGGCTTTGGATATTTAGTCTCCTCCCCAGCTCTCATTAGAGGCAGAGGAAGCCAGTCTGTGACCTTTCACTTAGAATCTTTGATAACTGACACATGGAAAGAGGAAACCATAGCGAAGGTAGAAATGACAACAACATGAGCCCAAGTGACAACCATGTGTAAGCACCATGAGGGGGTGGGTGGAGCCACCAGGGTGAATGCAAGAGGAAAGAATCCAGAACTCACACTGTGGGGACCTGGCTCACCACAGCCGCATACACTGTCACATGGCAGAGGCTTTGCAAACATGGGAGTCTCTGTGCTCTGGGTTTGGGCTTTGGTAATGACACAAAATGGTGTGTTTCCTGATGTTGCTCTGGTATTAAACTCCTGTGTAAATATTCGTTTCTCTGGTGGTATTTACCTGCTTTCCAAGGAACGGGGATCTGGGGAGAAGAGCAGGATTCAAGGGTCTCAGTTCTTTTCTGCTCATAGCTTAAAACATCTTGAAGCCCTCCATGCCTTTGGTGAGCTGCAGAGGTCCACGTGGGGCCACTCTATACAGTAGACATTCCTAGCTCCCCTGAGGCTACAGGGAGGCACTGCAGTGACTCCACTTGCATTCACAGGTGACAAGGATGAGGCCACATTCAGGCTAGCTGTGAGAAGCACTGTAAGGTGAGATGTTGACATCTTTTTTCCTGTGCTTATTTAAAAAGAGCCCCTATGGTATAAACCAGCTTAATAGTGAATGTACTGGAGCAACAGAATGACCAGGGCTGAATAAATAGTGATCCCCACTGGCAATGAATGGCCAGGAGTGGCTCTGAGGAAAGAGCCCCTGGAGGAGACCAACTGTGGGTGACAGAGTTAGCAGAACAAAACCCCACAGGGGAATCTCCCTGCTTCTAGGTAGCTGAACTAGTGTCCCTAATACCCTGTCATTTCATTTCTTTTAATCTGGAAATTCTGTTCTCTGTTTGTTAAGGACTCATTAAAATCACAGCCTGCCACTCCCACACTGATGAAGTCCCACTAAATCTCAGGACATCCTTTTTCATTGTTTGAGGCCCATGCCAGGGTGCCCTCCCTTGCTTCCCCTGTTCACCCCACTCTAGTTCTGGATCCCAGCACCTCCTTGGCCACTATCTCCCCTTATCCTCAGTCATTCATGCTGAATTAAGACTGTCTGCATAACCATCTCTCTTTGCTACTAATGCAGAGCCTTTGCAGGTAGGGGAAGTGTCTCTGTATTGCCCCAGCAGCCTGGCCCAAGGTCCAGATTAGAAAGGACAGCAACCAGGTGGGGTTGCAGTGCCCCTGTTACAGGACAGTGGTCTTGTCTGTTTTGACTCCTCAGAGAGTTAGATTTTCCTGCAAATAGATTTACAAGGCCTGGGAATTGCATGCTGAGAGGGTTAGCGGGAACCAGTAGGTACGCAGCTCTGGTTGTGTCTGTTGGGAAAGAGACTTGTTGTGCACAAGACTCTCAACTTTGAGTGAATGTTCTGGAGCAATCAGTGTGCTCTG